AACTTGACAGAAAAAAACTGTTTTGGCAACAAGAAGACAGGAGTTACTCTCCCTCATCCTCTCCCACCATCCAAACATCAGAAATGCTGCTCCAGGAGGTTAGCTTGAGATTCAGTTTTTGAAACTTGACTTTGACAGAACCCTCCCTGCCTCTACAAAATTACACCCCTTTTTTTGTGGGAAAGAAAACCCAGATGTTGCGTGATGATGAAGGGCTGGAAAGTCTAACCTGAGAACTCAAGGTTCTGATTTACTTTTCTGCCTGGTTACCAAGAAGCAATCATTGCTGGAAAAACCCAACCCAATTAACTGACCCGTGTATATAAACCCTTGGAAAAAACCTTGACAACCACTACTACTTTGAAAAAAGTTTGTGGCAACTGGACATTGAACATAAGAACATTTGTGCATTGAATTCTTGTATTTTCTGTGGATTTTATTGTGAAGATTCCATTCTTGACTTTTTTGATGAAAACAGAGAGCTTGCGCTTTTCTTGGGACTAGAATCCCTTGTATTGAGGATGGATTGTCCAACAATATAATTTAGTGTCAAGGGTCAAAATGGAATAAAAATGCGTTACTCAGTCTGGGACTGGACCAGGATTCCATTACGGAATTCCTAGTTTAAGGGTAAGATATATTTCAAATATACACACAACTGATTAACAACTCAATGAGTTTGACTTGCAACTTGCAGGAGTAAATGAATAAGTTGGGAATTAAACAGCTTAAGAACAACTGATCTGATTGATTATTGAGATGTGCTTCTTATATATGACAGGTATTAATTAACCTTCACAGGGTTTTACTTTACAGTCAGAAGCAAGAATAGTTATTGTCAAATATGCTGTGGTTCCTGGCACTGCAATTTTGAGGAGGGGGATGTATCTTTACTTCTAGGAATGTACGTTATTGTACCCAATGTGCATGCCCAACACCTTGGTCAGTTGCGTGTCAACCAATTGCCATGTTTCCATTTTTTACACCTCTCAATTTTCCAAACCATTCATTCCCTGTCCTAAAATTTTGATTCAATTTTTGGGTGAAATGGTCAAATTTGCATATATGGAATGTCATGTTATCCATGACAATGATGTTTCCAAAGAAGTCTCACTTTATTAGCTATGTAATATTCAGGACTCAGTTAACAGACTTTTTAATGTCATAAATCTGGTGAATTCAAAAATCATAACAGATAAAGTCTGCTCACCATAAAAATACCTAAATGCAGTGAACCCCCTTTCAACAGACCTCCTACTCAACAGATTTTTGCACAACAGATTGCCTCTGCAGGTGATTTTCCCTCCAACTACAGGGGACTAAATGGACTAAATGTGCCTAACAAACTTCTGTAGGTTTAAAATTACTATAATGGTAAAAAAGAGATTTTAATTTCTTACTGTAATTGACTTGGCTTAACAGACATTTCAGACCACAGACTAGTCTATTGCAAAAATTAAATCTGTTGTGTGGGGCTGACTGTATATGTACACAGATGGACTGTCTCTAAAAATAATTTCAAGGAACCAACAAAAAAAATCGTGGTAGACAAGCCCGTATAACATGGGTAAATAATCATATTGGACCCTAAAAAAAATACATCCTTATACAGAGAAAATCGTTGTTAACAAGATCCTTGCGGAGAAAGTCCATCTCTAGTATTTTATTTAAGAAGTACCGCACAACAATAATCAAATCAGTGATTTAAAAAAAAAGGAAATGAATAACTTCCACTGATATCAGATTCATTTTCTTTTAATCGGGTCACAGTTACTCACTGATGGCTGCAGTCTTTGCCTTATCCTTGGCACCCTTTTCTCGGAAAACTGGGTAATCATGGTCTGAGTCGTCACTCAGCATCATTCTCAAGTCGTCAATGGATGTCGGTTGCGGGTAGTTGTTGGTGAGAACCCTCAACCTGCACTCGCTACTCGCGCCTGCTCCTTCGTAGGGCTTCACTGGTATTCTTTGAAACCTGAAAAGAGGGGAGAAACGAGAATGATATGCGGGCTCAAATATGCAGCCAAATTATGCAGACCTTCATCGCGTAATTTTATATATTTAAATTATCGTCATGCGGACGAATTATAGGCCTTCCGCGGAATACTGCTGTATACAGTATTTGCTAATTACTCTTTTGAGCTCATTTTAGTGGATTACGAGCTTCAAAATATCATCTGAGTGCTGAACTGGTGTGAGACGCGAATTCATTTGCGTCTTTTCGGGTGGAAGGATTCTCCGAAAACTTCAAAAGCAGTGAAATGATGCGAATTTGACGTTTTCTCTCATTTTGGGGTCTTTTTTGTTACAGGACTGCAGCGATGAGTTGAAAAATGTTATTGGATTGAAGTTCAGAGTGGCCTTCTTCTTCAACTGGACAAGTTTCTAATTTCCGTGGGAAACTTATTTCCCATAAGACTTACTTATTTCCTTTAATACTGTCTATTCATTGCTAATACTGTACCTTAACAATCTGCAAAGTCTTGAAAATCAATTTTTTCGCATAAATCGTATATCCTATTAAAATGGTCAAGCGAGAAATTTACACCATCGTCTGCGATTCATGTAAAGCTGCTCGAAAAAAATGAGTTCGATGATTAGGATATAATTCATAAACTTTAAAAAATTAAGCCACACGATGAAATAAAATTCACGAAGAAAGCAGCGAGCCAAAAAAATATTACTGGACTATACTCTCATGTTCAATCAAAATGAAAATATACCTGGATGATTTTTTTAAATATAACAAGGAAGTGTAAGGGTTGCGGTTCCGTGAATTAAGAAGATGAAAAACATCAAAGGTTAATACGATGAAGTATTTTACTTGAAAACTCGAGTCAAATGTCGCACTTCCTTTGATTTTTTGTTTTTGCTGATATTTCTTTCATGTTTCAATAGCATGTTTGGGCCACTCGGACATTTTCGGGGTAACGAGGGATTAAAATTAAAGCCAAATGAATTAAAATCAGATATTGAAGAATATAATACAAAATAAATAATAATAATAAACAGGGCTGTATTACGTTCGTGAATGAACAAGATTTCCTTTGATTTGTTGCTAATGTTTCTTTCACGTAAAAGAGAATCTTTGAGCTTTCAAGAAAATTTTTGGGGTAACCAAATGGATCAAAACTGATTTAGAGTACAAGTCAAATTCAATTAAGGAAACGGTATTTGCGACTATATTTTGCACGATTAAACGGCAAACTTGGCTGCTTATTTTTTAAAGGAAAAAAAATGTTTGACAAAAGTCAGATAAATCCACATGAGACGTTCAAACATTTAACACAAGAATTAAAAAGTACTTTGTTAAGTTGTAATAAATATAAAAGTCTCACAGGTTGCAGTGGAAGAAAACCTCATTTTCCTTGACTTCGTGCACACTGACTCTGGATTGCCTGTCTGGCAAGAAATTCCCTTCGGGATCCCGTTCCCTGCAGGCCACTTCAATGTTGAATAATCTGCGTTTGGGTTCACTCAGTGTCATGACATTGAAAGAGAGTCCACTGGAAATGCCGTGTCCTTTGTCAGTCAAAATCTCCACCATTTCTTCGACTGAATTGCACGACAGTGCTGCTCTGGCCAGGATTCCTTTCGCTGCAGNCGTGTCAACCAATTGCCATGTTTCCATTTTTTACACCTCTCAATTTTCCAAACCATTCATTCCCTGTCCTAAAATTTTGATTCAATTTTTGGGTGAAATGGTCAAATTTGCATATATGGAATGTCATGTTATCCATGACAATGATGTTTCCAAAGAAGTCTCACTTTATTAGCTATGTAATATTCAGGACTCAGTTAACAGACTTTTTAATGTCATAAATCTGGTGAATTCAAAAATCATAACAGATAAAGTCAGCTCACCATAAAAATACCTATATGCAGTGAACCCCCTTTCAACAGACCTCCTACTCAACAGATTTTTGCACAACAGATTGCCTCTGCAGGTGATTTTCCCTCCAACTACAGGGGAATAAATGGACTAAATGTGCCTAACAAACTTCTGTAGGTTTAAAATTACTATAATGGTAAAAAAGAAAATTTTAATTTCTTACTGTAATTGACTTGGCTTAACAGACATTTCAGACCACAGACTAGTCTATTGCAAAAATTAAATCTGTTGTGCGGGGCTGACTGTATATGTACACAGATGGACTCTCTATAAAAATAAATTTCAAGCGACCAAAAAAAATCGTTGTAGACAAACCCCATAGCCTATATAACATGGGTAAATAATCTTATGGGACCCAGAAAAAAAAATCCTTATACAGTACATAGAAAATTGTTGTTATCAAGATCCTTGAGGATAGAGTCCACCTGTATTTTATTCAAGAAGTACCGCACAAAAATAATCAAATCAGTGATTTTTTTAAAATGAATAACTTCCACTGATATCAGATTCACTTTCTTTCAATCGATTCACAGTTACTCACTGATGGCTGCAGTCTTTGCCTTATCCTTGGCACCCTTTTCTCGGAAAACTGGGTAATCATGGTCTGAGTCGTCACTCAGCATCATTCTCAAGTCGTCAATGGATGTCGGTTGCGGGTAGTTGTTGGTGAGAACCCTCAACCTGCACTCGCTACTCGCGCCTGCTCCTTCGTAGGGCTTCACTGGTATTCTTTGAAACCTGAAAAGAGGGGAGAAACGAGAATGATATGCGGGCTCAAATATGCAGCCAAATTATGCAGACCTTCATCGCGTAATTTTATATATTTAAATTATCGTCATGCGGACGAATTATAGGCCTTCTGCGGAATACTGCTGTATACAGTATTTGCTAATTACTCTTTTGAGCTTCTTGTTGTGGATAACGAGCTCCAAAAGATCATCTGAGTGCTGAACTGGTGTGAAAAGCGAATTCATTTGTGTCTTTTCGGGTGGAAGTATTCTCCAAGAACTTCAAAAGCAGTGAAATGATGCGAATTTGATGTTTTCTCTCATTTTCCAGTCTTTTTTGTTGCAGGACTGCTGCGATGAGTTGAAAAATGTGATTGGATTGAAGTTCAGAGTGGCCTTCTTCTTCAACTGGACAAGTTTCTAATTTCCGTGGGAAACTTATTTCCCATAAGACTTACTTATTTCCTTTAATACTGTCTATTCATTGCTAATACTGTACCTTAACAATCTGCAAAGTCTTGAAAATCAATTTTTTCGCATAAATCGTATATCCTATTAAAATGGTCAAGCGAGAAATTTACACCATCGTCTGCGATTCATGTAAAGCTGCTCGAAAAAAATGAGTTCGATGATTAGGATATAATTCATAAACTTTAAAAAATTAAGCCACACGATGAAATAAAATTCACGAAGAAAGCAGCGAGCCAAAAAAATATTACTGGACTATACTCTCATGTTCAATCAAAATGAAAATATACCTGGATGATTTTTTTAAATATAACAAGGAAGTGTAAGGGTTGCGGTTCCGTGAATTAAGAAGATGAAAAACATCAAAGGTTAATACGATGAAGTATTTTACTTGAAAACTCGAGTCAAATGTCGCACTTCCTTTGATTTTTTGTTTTTGCTGATATTTCTTTCATGTTTCAATAGCATGTTTGGGCCACTCGGACATTTTCGGGGTAACGAGGGATTAAAATTAAAGCCAAATGAATTAAAATCAGATATTGAAGAATATAATACAAAATAAATAATAATAATAAACAGGGCTGTATTACGTTCGTGAATGAACAAGATTTCCTTTGATTTGTTGCTAATGTTTCTTTCACGTAAAAGAGAATCTTTGAGCTTTCAAGAAAATTTTTGGGGTAACCAAATGGATCAAAACTGATTTAGAGTACAAGTCAAATTCAATTAAGGAAACGGTATTTGCGACTATATTTTGCACGATTAAACGGCAAACTTGGCTGCTTATTTTTTAAAGGAAAAAAAATGTTTGACAAAAGTCAGATAAATCCACATGAGACGTTCAAACATTTAACACAAGAATTAAAAAGTACTTTGTTAAGTTGTAATAAATATAAAAGTCTCACAGGTTGCAGTGGAAGAAAACCTCATTTTCCTTGACTTCGTGCACACTGACTCTGGATTGCCTGTCTGGCAAGAAATTCCCTTCGGGATCCCGTTCCCTGCAGGCCACTTCAATGTTGAATAATCTGCGTTTGGGTTCACTCAGTGTCATGACATTGAAAGAGAGTCCACTGGAAATGCCGTGTCCTTTGTCAGTCAAAATCTCCACCATTTCTTCGACTGAATTGCACGACAGTGCTGCTCTGGCCAGGATTCCTTTCGCTGCAGAAAATCAATGGTCTTAAAAAAACGACGTTTCAAAAGAGGTCTGACAAAAGGATGGATTTTCACTCCTATTTAAATATTGTACGATAAAACACCCGCATCCGAAAAACAAATTTCAAATTTTATGCTTACATATCCGGGAAATGTAGAGAGAAATACTGAAAACTCATCATTTTCGAACATATCTGCAAATTTCAACATAGTTGGCCGTTTTTCAGAAATTGACTGAAGGAGATGGTCGAATAACTGAAGCAATAGCTTGAATACTGCATTTCAGCTTTCATCAGGATAATTATTATATCTACCAAAAATGGGAAGCATCCAATCTTCTCTTCTTCATTTTTAACGAAGCATCAGCAGGTATGCTTACCCACAAGCAATTTCAATTTTTTGTCTCATCAGAAATCCAATGAACTTAATTTGCACCATATCAACTGTTGATAAATGGGCTAAAAAACTGCATCAAAAATCCTGAAATATTTGAAAGAAAATTGTAACAGCAGTGAAAGATATATGTATAGTTGGGTCCTCTCTATATACAACAATCTTGTTTACAACAATCTTGTTTACAACAATCTTGTTTACAACAATCTTGTTTACAACAATCTTGTTCACAACAATCTTGTTTACAACAATCTTGTTTACAACAATCTTGTTTACAACAATCTTGTTTACAACAATTTTTGCTGCATAATGAATTCTATTTTGATCCCACGAGGTTCTCTTCCCATGTTATATGGATTTCCTACAAATAAAGTCTCTGTTCAGCAATTTTTTTTCTGGTCCCTTGAATTTTGTTGTGTCACTATGGAGAGTACAGCTGAAAAATTACAGATACGCATGTGCTCTTCAAATTTTTGCTTCCTTTATTAATTTAAAAAAAATGTGCACTCAGAAAATTCCGATTGTTGACCCCCATGCATTCAATGAATGTAAAAACGCTGAGTAGAATGCAAAATTTGCTTGAAACATTTCTCTGGAAATGCTGTACACCGCATTTGACTCAATGTCATTGGAAAGTTTCGTTTTTAAAGGAAAAAGAGCGCCAAGACTCGTGCATCCAATAAATATATATAAAGCAGGGATGAATGCAATTTTTTCTTTAAATATACAGTATCTTTAAATGGAAATTCTGTACACTGCAGTTGACTGAATGGCATCGGGGAGCTTTTTTGTTGTTGTTTTTTTGTCAAGGAAAAAGAGCGTTGTAAGATTTAACAGCAAGCAGTTGGGAGGATAATACATACGTGTTCCCCAGGGGTCAATTTCCAGGCTTGCCAGCTCATTCACGGTCACGGCGAGGTGCTCACTCACTGCCATTGCGTAACCCGGCAAATCCCCGGGGTAACAATAAGACACGATTTGCTCCTCTGTGCGTTTCAGCTTCCCTCTGGGCTCCTCGGATGAGTCCTGGTAGTGAACGTGGGTCACGTAGCATTCGTTCATCAGGTCTGCTTGCAGGTCCTCAGTGTGTCCTATGGCCAACTGTGAATGGGACACCAATCAAATGACATTTTGCCAGGCGGGTGTCAAATAATCCGAGGGTTTTTTATTTTCTGCTGCTATTCAAGTAGACCAACTGCGAGAGGATAGTTTCAAAACTTTTGGACCAGATTTACTGGTTCACTCGCATGTCCCTATATATATATATGATACATTTTTGTTAATGTCATGCTGGGTGTCAAAGAATTTGGAGTATTCTGCTATTCTGGAATCTAGACCAGTGTTCCCCAACCTTTCTCGGGACTGCACACTGGAAAATTCCCAAAAAAAATTTTTTTCATGAACCAGCAAATTCTTCAAAAATTTTCTTTGGACCAAAAAAGTTTCATAGATTTTTTATAGATTCAAAAAAGTTTTGTTTGAAAGAGTTTATGGCAGGTATGTAAAAAGATTCCGTTTTTAGGCAAAAAAAACAAACAAAAACAAATGAAGCAGCTCTATATAGGGAAATGTCTTCCAAAAATTAGAAAGGTGTGGGCTTAGAGAAAGTTTTCTCAGGATTAAAAAATCAAAATAAATTATTATAGTATGCAAAAATGTGTCTGAACTCTGAAGTGTGAGTTTGGTGGAAAAGCCAACTTTTTTCCATCAGACAATAATTTATATTCTGCGATTGTCTTTAACAAATTTTGGATCACAATGGCAGACTTCATTGCTACTTTTGATAAATTCATCATGTTGCAGAAAATTTCCTTTAGACCTGCAAAAATCTTCTGTGGACTGGCGCCAATCATCAGAACACCGGTTGGGGATCACTGGTCCAGACCAACTGAAACAGATGTTTGAAAAGTTCAAGGGTTCTTTCATGGTTTATCAAGTGCATGCCTGACATTGAAAACTAATGAATGAATGAACAGAACACTTTATTTGCTGCTTTTCAGCATTCACAAGGTTCACTCAAGATTTCCACAACCAAACCCCCCTTCCCATGCAACCCAAATCCACTTCAGCCCGGATATTCGTAAAGTTTTTTTTTTGATTCAGCAATATGCGATTTCATAGTGGACATTCATTACCCCTCACAATTAACAGCGTGATTTCAAAGTTGATTATGGTATTCTTTTCCATTCCTTACAGGGTCGCGGGTCAACTAAATTTTCTCCCAGCAGCATTGAAAATTCGTCTGAGAGAGTTGAGCTGAACCATGTCCATAATTTTCCCTGAACTATACCGAAACTTCACGAAGTTTTTGAAGCATTAGTAGGGAAAATTTCAAGTCCGAAAAAGAAAAAGTTCAAAAATGTAAATATTTCAAACGCTAAAAGTCTTGTGCAAAGACTTATTATAATATTGATGGGGAGTGTGACAGAAGAAAAGAAAAAACGAATGGCATTGTGAATAATTTTAGCTACACAAAAGCACATGGAAAGTTGAATAATCAGCTTCCCCAGATCTCCTAAATTTTCCATTCAAAGGCTCCGGCAAATTTTGATTTCAACCTTTTGAAATGTTTTTCAAAATACGATAAGGCAAACATTATGAAAATAATTTCCTTTTCTGATGAAGGCTCCTAAAATGTGTGACTTTCCTTGGGTTGAGGTTGAATTTT